TCTATGGTAGGTCTTAAAGGGTTAAATAAATATCGTCAAATAATCGAGATCTCAATTTCAGTGAAAAAAATCGTGATTATCATTTTGGCCATAATCAAGCAGCCCTAGATCAGTGTCACCGCCCTAGATCAGTGTCACCGCTACGTGCAGCTTTCAGGCCGAGGACTGCGCCTCGTCCAGCAGCAGTGTCTGATAACATGCTGCACCTCCCTGCTTTGTTCCAGCCTGCTGACTCATCTCATTTTGTACGGTTTGACCCTAAAGTTCAGTTCCTGTCTCGTCACTTTGGCGCAGAAGTTTGGAGGCTCGTCTTGTGCGGGTGATGAAACCATCTCGCTGCTTTCGTGCTGCGAAGTCTGTGTTTCACCTGAAGTAGCCTGAGAGGTTTTCTTTGCTTTCTGGCAGAAACATCAGTACTCTGTCGTCTGACTGTGTTTACTCTGACTCTGGTTTGGTATCAGCAGGACTACTCATCCTCCACTCCTTCGTCAGACACTGAACTCTACTTTTTACACCCTTTGTCTGATTTTTACAGTTCACCTCATCTCGTGAAGCTCTGTTCTTGTCTCCTGGCTCAGCAGCCACTGACTATTTACACAGAAGCACCATTTATAATTAAACCTGTGACAGCTGTGGAAAGTTACCCTTAATAGTCAAGTAATCCTGACACGTCTGACTCCCAAACATCCTCAAGAAAACATTTTAAGCTCCTCAACACCTCTTTCCACCTGCTTTGACTTAATTGTTGGACTATTCCAGAGTCTGGGGACAGCAGCAGCACGACTCTGTGGTATATAATGGAGCTGATGCACCAAACTGAGGCTTTAAAAACACATATTGTCTATTTCACAGACAGTCAAAGCAGCTGAGCTCAGACAGGAGAGATGTGCTGTCTTTGCTTTGTACCAGATTTCTAAAAGTCAAAGAAAAGTCCACAAAAGTATATCAGGGGTTATTTGTGACAGAAGGAGAGGAACAAGAGTGAAAAGGAAGGTTTAGAAGATGGTGGTGAGACCTGCTGTGATGGTTTGGAGAGGGTGGAGCTGTTCAGAGGAGGTTCATGGATGTAGTGAAGGAGGACATGCAGAGGGTCAGTGCGATGGATGAGCTGAGACAGGAGGAGGTGGAGGCAGATGAGTGGCTGTGGTGCCCTCCTCGCTTCAGAGCCTCCTTTAAAGCGATGTTTACATCT